TATATATTATATATATATATATATATATATATATTATATACATATATATTATATATATATATTTATTATATACATATATATTATATATATATATATATATATTATATACATATATATTATATATATATATATATATATATATAATATATATAAAAGTTTGTGAGGGTACCACCTCTGGTGCCAATGTGGGGACCCATAGCCTCGGAGAAGAAAATAAAAAGTATTCAGAGGAGACCTTGTGGTTTCTCACTGAACACTAAGTTCTTGCGAAACGGATGTGGCAGGGATTCGTTTACCAACCACAGATTAAACAGTTTTGCAAACACTCTGATTGGTATAGCTTTAAGTAAACGTATAGTGATACCGTCTGGGCCAGGAGCAGCACTGCTACTTGCCTTGAGAGCAACAAGGATTTCCTCTGGTGTTATTGGGTTCCCTAGTTGCTGATTAACTGGGTCACGGTCGCGAATTGGGCGGCGGTCCGGCGATGTGGGTCTAGAGAATAGTGCTTCAACTGGCACGCGTCTCACACCACACGCCCTCCGAATTGCTGTGGCCCTCCGCCTTGCTGCCCCAATCCACACCAGATATAGGTGTATTTGCGGCGAGGTGGTGGCTGACAGGTACGGTCACCATGGCCTACTCTGCCAAAGCACAGGGGGATGGCACTCGAGGCACAGTGAAGTTAACGACATCATCAAGAGGAGCCTCACCACAGCTGGATGCCCAGCTGAAAGAGAGCCCCGTTACCTAACGCCCCGTAACTCTGATGCTCTTATTGGTCGCCCGGATGGTATCACAGTGAACCCCTGGAAGAATGGCAAGCAGTTGGTATGGGACTACACGTGCGTATCAACCCTGGCTAACACCTACATTAACCTCAGTGTTGCACAACCAGGTGGCGCTGCCACCCACAGGGAAGCAGCCAAATCCCGTAAGTATAGAGAACTGGATCACCACTACAATTTTGTCCCCATTGCTTCTGAGACGCTCGGCGCCTGGGGTAAAAGTGCTACCAGTTTTTTGAAGGAACTGGGTTCTAGGCTCATTGAAACAACAAGGGACCCGAGAGCTGCAAGCTTTCTTTTCCAGCGCCTCAGTGTGGCGATACAGAGGGGAAATGCGCACTGCATCCAGGGTTCCTGCCCGCCATCTGAGGAGCTGGAGGAACTCGACAACCTATGACAACCATCTTTGTAACCCATATGTAACTCCTTTTTTGTAACAAAGTTCAAATAAAGTAAATATATATGTGTACATAATATATATATATATATATATATATATATATATATATATATATATATATATATATATATATATATATATATATTTTTTTTTTTTGGTAGCAGTCTTTCCTGTAGACATATGTTATTAAATATGACCGAAAAAGTAAGATTAATAATTCTAACACGAATTTTCTCGATCTTTCGTACGTTTCTTTTCACTGTTGGTGGTATTTCAAAAATCAATTCTCCAAAATTAATTTTTCATTTCTAGTCTGACGCGACACTTGAGCGCGTTTCGTAAAACTTATTACATTTTCAATGACTTTAGCTTACACATACACAACTGAATAGAACTTGCACATCTTAGATTTGTTTATATCTACATTTGAGTGAGGTGGATGGGGTGAGGTGGTATTAATAGGGTATTAAATTCCTAAACACAAGACAGAACACGAAACAATGGGTATTGAATGGAAGTGATTTGTAGAAAGCCTATTGGTCCATATTTCTTGATGCTTCTATATTGGAGCGGAGTCTTGAGGTGGGTAGAATATAGTTGTGCATTAATTGGCTGTTGATTGCTGGTGTTGACTTCTTCATGTGTAGAGCCTCGCAGACGTCAGCTTGACGGCTTGATAGGCGGCTTGACGTCTGCGAGGCTCTACACATCAAGAAGTCAACTTCTTGATGTGTAGTATGTGAAGCTGTCAGAAGCCAAGGTTGCTTCTATGTTCATTTGTGCAATGTTGCACAAATGCACATTGTGCATTGATGATGCATTATGATAAGAATTAGACAGCAATGGAGCGGGATATGAGGACAGCATAGGAGCTAGAATATGAGGACAGCTTAGGAATTGGGATAAGGAAAGGAGTGAAGGATCGGTGCCCAGTTAATTGGACCATCAAGGATTGAACACAGACCTGCAATGTAGCGAGGCCAATGTTTTGCCACCCAGTCGATGGCAAATGATAGCATCTAATTAACACTATTTCATCATCCATTCTCGCGTGTAGCAAATCTCAGTCGCTGTTTCTAGTCCCCAAGAAAACCTAACTTCGAAACCTGTACATCTTTCATCGATCGAGGAGGCTTGCTCTGTACTTCTTAAACAGTTTACTAGCTTAGAAACATCGTAACTCAATGTTGTTATTGTTGGAGAAACCTCGTGGAATTTTGGAGTTTAAAAGCTATTAAATACATGTAAATCAAGCCGCCAAGATATAGGAAAGATGCACAGGTTTCGTAAGTAAAGGACTGAAGAATTCCGTTTCAGTCCTCTACACAAACTTTACTTCAACTCTTTAAATCGGTTTTAGAAATTTATGATGGGGGTCAGTCAATAGTCTTTCCTCCGTCTAAATTGGCTCCTTACTTTACTGGTACTCAGTAAAGCTGCCACAACATTACTGGTACTCAGTAAAGCTGCCACAACACTACTGGTACTCAGTAAAGCTGCCACAACACTACTGGTACTCAGTAAAGCTGCCACAACACTACTGGTACTCAGTAAAGCTGTCATAATACTTTACTGGTACTCAGTAAAGCTGTCATAATACTTTACTGGTACTCAGTAGAGCTGCCATAATACTTTACTGGTACTCAGTAAAGCTGCCATAATACTTTACTGGTACTCAGTAAAGCTGCCATAATACTTTACTGGTACTCAGTAAAGCTGCCACAACATTACTGGTACTCAGTAAAGCTGCCACAACACTACTGGTACTCAGTAAAGCTGCCACAACACTACTGGTACTCAGTAAAGCTGCCACAACACTACTGGTACTCAGTAAAGCTGCCACAACACTACTGGTACTCAGTAAAGCTGCCATCACTTTACTGGTACTCAGTAAAGCTGCCACAACATTACTGGTACTCAGTAGAGCTGCCATAATACTTTACTGGTACTCAGTAAAGCTGCCACAACACTACTGGTACTCAGTAAAGCTGCCACAACACTACTGGTACTCAGTAAAGCTGCCACAACACTACTGGTACTCAGTAAAGCTGCCACAACATTACTGGTACTCAGTAGAGCTACCATCACTTTACTGGTACTCAGTAAAGCTGCCACAACACTACTGGTACTCAGTAAAGCTGCCACAACACTACTGGTACTCAGTAAAGCTGTCATAATACTTTACTGGTACTCAGTAAAGCTGTCATAATACTTTACTGGTACTCAGTAGAGCTGCCATAATACTTTACTGGTACTCAGTAAAGCTGCCATAATACTTTACTGGTACTCAGTAAAGCTGCCATAATACTTTACTGGTACTCAGTAAAGCTGCCACAACATTACTGGTACTCAGTAAAGCTGCCACAACACTACTGGTACTCAGTAAAGCTGCCACAACACTACTGGTACTCAGTAAAGCTGCCACAACACTACTGGTACTCAGTAAAGCTGCCACAACACTACTGGTACTCAGTAAAGCTGCCATCACTTTACTGGTACTCAGTAAAGCTGCCACAACATTACTGGTACTCAGTAGAGCTGCCATAATACTTTACTGGTACTCAGTAAAGCTGCCACAACACTACTGGTACTCAGTAAAGCTGCCACAACACTACTGGTACTCAGTAAAGCTGCCACAACACTACTGGTACTCAGTAAAGCTGCCACAACATTACTGGTACTCAGTAGAGCTACCATCACTTTACTGGTACTCAGTAAAGCTGCCACAACACTACTGGTACTCAGTAAAGCTGCCACAACACTACTGGTACTCAGTAAAGCTGCCACAACACTACTGGTACTCAGTAAAGCTGCCACAACATTACTGGTACTCAGTAGAGCTACCATCACTTTACTGGTACTCAGTAAAGCTGTCATAATACTATACTGGTACTCAGTAAAGCTGCCATAATACTTTACTGGTACTCAGTAGAGCTGTCATAATACTATACTGGTACTCAGTAAAGCTGCCATAATACTTTACTGGTACTCAGTAAAGCTGCCATAATACTTTACTGGTACTCAGTAAAGCTGCCACAACACTACTGGTACTCAGTAAAGCTGCCACAACACTACTGGTACTCAGTAAAGCTGCCATAATACTTTACTGGTACTCAGTAAAGCTGCCATAATACTTTACTGGTACTCAGTAAAGCTGCCATAATACTTTACTGGTACTCAGTAAAGCTGCCACAACACTACTGGTACTCAGTAGAGCTGCCATAATACTTTACTGGTACTCAGTAAAGCTGCCATAATACTTTACTGGTACTCAGTAAAGCTGCCATAATACTTTACTGGTACTCAGTAAAGCTGCCACAACATTACTGGTACTCAGTAAAGCTGCCATAATACTTTACTGGTACTCAGTAGAGCTACCATCACTTTACTGGTACTCAGTAAAGCTGCCATAACACTTTACTGGTTCTCAGTAAAGCTGCCATAACACTTTACTGGAACTCAGTAAAGCTGCCATAACACTTTACTGGTACTCAGTAAAGCTGCCATAACACTTTACTGGTACTCAATAAAGCTGCAACAACACTTTGCAAACTAAAGAAATTTCCGTATCATCTTATAAATAAGGTTTACTTACTAATCAAAATTTAATATAAATTTTGTTCCTGGGTGGTATATTCATAATTGCTTATGGATAAAAAATAAGGAAAATGACTAGTATCTCCCATCAAACTTGGCTTCTGTGGCCATGACAACGAAATTTTGGAATTGACAATATTCTTATGAAACCAGGTAATTGACGTCTTTTCGGTCACGTCAATCCAGTTAAAGCAACACAGGCATAATAAATTAACATGTATTTAAATGGATATACAAATGACCACCAAAAAGATATGGAACTGAGTAGTTTTATCGAGATTTATGATTATTCTGTAAATTACTTTTACGAGTCAGATCCTCATGCAGTGCAACCCATCCTTATCCTCGTTCTACTGTTCTTGGTGTAGGCGTTCAAAGTCCAGAGTATCCTGGTGGGAGACCGCACTCTGCTCCTCCCAGTATGCCATCATCGTCTTGAGTTGATCAACAAGGATATGCAATTTGATAACGGACATGCTGCAACCCATTGTGCCGTAGTACTTATAGGAAGTACTACTCTGGTATACTGCAAAATACATAAAAGTTTCAACTAGCTTCATATAGTTTTCGGCCTTATGATTGCTCAGGAATCTTCAAACACAGCGACAAAGCTCTTTCATTTTCTCCTTCCTAGTAAGTTTCCTGGGGATTTCCTTCCCCGCCAGGACTTTCTTCATCTATGGTGCGACGAAAACATCAGAGTTGACCTTTGACCTATCCCCTCAGACAGCTTATGGAAGAAGCTTTGAAGGTATTTCAGGACTGCCGACTCCTTATCTTGAGATCTGACAAAATGTTTCACAAGCCCCAATTTGATGAGAAGTGGCGATATATATATATATATATATATATATATATATATATATATATATATATATATATATATATATATATATATATATATTAAAAATGCCAAAAAAAGATTAATACAGGGGATGGGGGGGGGGTGTAAAACCCCTCTTTAAGAAGCTTAGTCTCCAAGCAGACAATTCATGAAAGCAGAAATATATATATATGGTTCCACTAAAGGGAGGAAGGCTGAAAATCACTGCAATCTAAGAAAACATTATTATACAATGTCCTTTTAAACGATTCATGTTCATGAAATTTTGCATTTCTTGCAGTAAACGAGATAATGAAATGCTTCACCACAATTACTATAAATTCTTCAAGAAATTGAGTTGATAAATATAGGAAATCCTTATTATTCCGACAAATAAAATGAAGCAAACGAATCTGCCAGATATTTTATTCAAATGTGATTCATATGATGACGTTAATTCCAACTGTTGCAAACATTCCTATGCAAATGCACAGGAGCAAACAAACCATCCTACCCAGTTGACTTTGTAAAAAGAAAACAAATATCTGTAGTGGGTGTTGAAGCAAACTGGCAAGTACAGGAAGCTAGTTCAAAAGATTAAAATTCCCCCCAAAAAAGAGATTAATACAAGGGACGGGGGGGGGGGGGGTAAAACCCCTCTTTAAGAATGCTTAGTCTCCAGGCAGACTATTCATCAAAGCAGAAACTAATTAGCAGACAAGCAAGTCTCAGAAGAAAAATATTTATATCAAGAAAGTTAAAAAGAGCATAGCTAAAATGGGAGATGGAGTAAGCAGGCGTGAAGTCTGTGTGCTGAGCGCGTCCTGGGAGCGCTCAAGCGACCACCTGACGTCCTGGGGGCGCTCAAGCGACAACCTGGCATCCTGGGGGCGCTCAAGCGACAACCTGGCATCCTGGGGGCGCTCAAGCGACAACCTGGCATCCTGGGGGCGCTCAAGCGACAACCTGGCATCCTGGGGGCGCTCAAGCGACTACCTGGCATCCTGGGGGCGCTCAAGCGACAACCTGGCATCCTGGGGGCGCTCAAGCGACCACCTGACATCCTGGGGGCGCACAAGCGACAATCTGGCGTCCTGGGGGCGCTCAAGCAACCACCTGGCATCCTGGGGGCGCTCAAGCGACTACCTGGCATCCTGGGGGCGCTCAAGCGACAACCTGGCATCCTGGGGGCGCTCAAGCGACAACTTGGCATCCTGGGGGCGCTCAAGCGACAACTTGGCATCCTGAGGTCGCTCAAGCGACAACCTGGCGTCCTGGGGGCGCTCAAGCGGCAACCTGGCGTCCTGGGGGCGCTCAAGCAGCAACCTGGCGTCCTGGGGCGCTCAAGCGGCAACCTGGCGTCCTGGGGCGCTCAAGCGACAACCTGGCGTCCTCTGGGCGCTCAAGCGGCAACCTGGCGTCCTGGGGGCGCTCAAGCGACAACCTGGCGTCCTGGGGGCGCTCAAGCGACAACCTGGCGTCCTGGGGGCGCTCAAGCGACAACCTGGCGTCCTGGGGGCGCTCAAGCAACCACCTGGCATCCTGGGGGCGCTCAAGGGACAACCTGGCGTCCTGGGGGCGCTCAAGCGGCAACCTGGCGTCCTGGGGGCGCTCAAGCAGCAACCTGGCGTCCTGGGGGCGCTCAAGCAACCACCTGGCATCCTGGGGGCGCTCAAGCAACCACCTGGCATCCTAGGGGCGCTCAAGCGACAACCTGGCGTCCTGGGGGCGCTCAAGCGACAACCTGGCGTCCTGGGGCGCTCAAGCGACAGCCTTGCGTCCTGGGGGCGCTCAAGCGACAACCTTGGGTCCTGGGGGCGCTCAAGCGACAACCTGGCGTCCTGGGGGCGCTCAAGCGGCAACCTGGGGGCGCTCAAGCGGCAACCTGGCGTCCTGGGGGCGCTCAAGCGACAACCTGGCGTCCTGGGGGCGCTCAAGCAACCACCTGGCATCCTGGGGGCGCTCAAGCAACCACCTGGCATCCTGGGGGCGCTCAAGCGACAACCTGGCGTCCTGGGGGCGCTCAAGCGACAACCTGGCGTCCTGGGGGCGCTCAAGCAACCACCTGGCATCCTGGGGGCGCTCAAGCAACCACCTGGCATCCTAGGGGCGCTCAAGCGACAACCTGGCGTCCTGGGGGCGCTCAAGCGACAACCTGGCGTCCTGGGGCGCTCAAGCGACAGCCTTGCGTCCTGGGGGCGCTCAAGCGACAACCTTGGGTCCTGGGGGCGCTCAAGCGACAACCTGGCGTCCTGGGGGCGCTCAAGCAACCACCTGGCATCCTGGGGGCGCTCAAGCAACCACCTGGCATCCTAGGGGCGCTCAAGCGACAACCTGACGTCCTGGACAGACACTCTGCTCCGGGTCAAGAAGGATCTATCTCCACTTATAACGTAACAAGAGAGTTTTTGTTCTAAATTTTGATTAAGTTAATTATATCTATTTATTTAGTTATTTATGCATAAGTGATGCTGGACGAAAAGTTGAGAACTATATAGACCTTCTAGACATACTACTGAAGACTTCTTAGGCCTACTAAACATGCTCCCGGAGACTACTTAGGCCTAATAAACGAGCTTTCAATTTTCTTAGACCTGCTAAACAGGCTTCCTATACTGCTTTGACCCACTATAGAGGCTTTCAAAGACTTCATAGGCTTAAAAACAGCGTCACAAAAAAAATTAGGCCTACTAATCAGGCTCCTAATACTTTCTTAAATCAACTAGACAAGCTCCAGAGACTTAGACCAGTTTAATACCCTCTTAAGGCTTTTATGATTTTTCCTCCAAAAGATTTCCAAACATTTCAAAGAAACACTAGTAAAAGATCAAATAAGACTTTTTGACGATGTTAACGCCATCTATTGACCGCACCTGACCCTATTTCCTGCTTCCTGGTGGAAGACTGTGGTCAGACTCAAACAGGTGTAGTTTCCTTTGTACTTTGTACTGTATGAGGAGCGGCCAGTAAGGAGACTCCTGAAGAACGCAAGGCTTGTTTCCGTCGGAACAAGAAGGGCCTGGTTGTTGAAGACCGTCAAATGTCCATGGTAGCCGGTGAGCTATTGGTATTGGAACGACGCGTCCCGGGATGGCCAAGGTGTGTGTGTGTGAAGACGAATTCAACGTCAATCAGTCCTCTAGGTTAAGGTTAGTTCGTGGTTAAGCCTTGAGAGGAAGCCAGCCAGTCAGCGTGTTACTGAGTTAGCGTTGAAACACTGTGAATATCGTGGAGGACTGGGCCCGTGGAGGACTGGGCCCATGGAGGACTGGGCCCGTGGAGAACTGGGCCCATGGAGGACTGGGCCCGTGGAGGACTGGGCCCGTGGAGGACTGGGTCCGTGGAGGACTGGGCCCGTGGAGGACTGGCCCCGTGGAGGACTGGACCCGTGGAGGACTGGGCCCGTGGAGGACTGGCCCATAAAAGGTGCTGTTTATAAAGGCTTCCATAAAAGCTTTTCAGGAGACGCAAGGGAGATTATTCTAGAGTAGTGTTAACCAATATTTTCAAAATACAAACTAAATCCGTTATTCTCACCAGGGAGAATAACTATGAATACACCTATAATGATTTTTGTGAATGAACGTGTTCAACACAATAGTTCTGTCGTTATAAAAAACATGTTATGGGAACTTGAAATGAAAATTTATTCATTTCGCAAACAAATAATTCTATTATGTTGCAATACCATAGGAAGTATAACCAGTGAGGCATAAATTAAGTCAAATGAAGCATTAATTTTCTATAATATATAAACCATCAATGAAAATGATAAAGGAATTATAATTTTTACCCATTTTTATTTGATGTTATATGGTAGGCGCAGTGGAAGGCTCTGGGTTTACCAGTGGCTTGCTTTATTAAGGTACCATACCTTACGTTTACTTGGGTTGATCTTTAGTAGCCATTTGTTTGACCATTCCTTCAGTTTGTCTAGGTCGTCTTGTAGCCTTATACTATCTTCTGTCTTAATCCTCCTCATAATTTTTTGTTCCATCAGTAAACATTGAGAGGAGCGAGTATTCCCTCTGGGAGATCATTTACATATACAGTATCAGAAACCGTATAGGTCCAAGGACTGATCCCTGTGGGACTCCACTGGTGACTCCTTTCCACTCCGAGACCTTCTCCCTCACAGTGACTCCCTGTCTTTGTTGCTTAGGTACTCCCTTATCCAGGGGAGTACCTTCCCTTTCACTCCTGCCTGCATCTCCAGCTGTTGCAATAGTCTCTTATATGGTACAGTGTCAAAGGCTTTCTGGCAATCCAAAAATATGTAGTCTGCTCGGCCCTCTCTATCTTGGCTGATTTGTGATTTGTGTTGTATGTGTGTGTGTAATTGCCTAAGTGTAATTACCTAAGTGTAGTTAGGGAATGAGAGCTACGCTCGTAGTGTCCCATCTTCTCAGCACTGTCACATAGCACTTGATAGTTATAGAAACTATTGATAGTTCTGTCCTCCACTACCTGGCATCGGAGTGGTTGGACGGTGTTCCAACCGTCTACCACTCTGTTTGCAAAGATAATGTTGTTATAGATAAGATAAGATAATGTTATTAAAACAAGACTAAAACCAGTGGACTAAAACAGAAGCAAAAAAGAAACGGGGAAAAAGGAGGAAACCTCGCCTCCATTTAAAACGTTGACCCAAATATCACAGTAACAAGGTTATCGCGAATAACCGAACTCAAATACGGGCTCAACATAGCCCGTGCTACATGGACATTTCGTTCTGAGTAGCTAGATCTAAAACATCAACAACAGCCAGGTAAGTCCACTACGGGCTCACCATAGCCCGTGCTACTTGCAACTTTTTGTTCCGAGTAGCTGAATCTAAAACAATAACATGGTGGGGTGTTGGAAGTGTCAGCACGGGAGCCGGTCGGCCGAGCGGACAGCACGCTGGACTTGTGATCCTGTAGTCCCAGGTTCGATACCGGGAGCCAGCGAGAAACAATGGGCAGAGTTTGTTTCACCCCTATGTCCCTGTTACCTAGCAGTAAAATAGGTACTTGGGTGTTAGTCAGCTGTCACGGGCTGCTTCCTGGGGGGTGGAGGCCTGGTCGAGGACCGGGCCGCGGGGACAATAAAAAAAGTTCCGAAATCATCTCAAGATAACCTCAAGATAACGGGACGGAGCACGAACCAACGGTTGTGGACTGGGTGAGTTTGGATTTCGGAGGGACCTGGGTGGGTACTGGTTCGGTAACAGGGTTGTTGATTTGTGGTATCAGTTGCCACGTGGCGTGGTAGAGGTGGGGGTCCCTTGATTGTTTCAAGCGTGGGTTGGACATGTATATGAGTGGAACTGAGTGGTTATAAATAGGAGCTGCCTCGTATGGGCCAATAGGCCCTCTGCAGTTACCTTTATTCCTATGTTCTTTTGTTCCTACCAGGAAGACTATTTATCACTGGGAAAAGATTCAGGAAGAAGAGTTAGTCACACAGTCAATCAAATCAAAAGTTTCATTCATAAATGATTGTACATTTAAAACAGAGAAAGCTTACATAATAAAGAAATTACAGAATATATTGCAGTCCCCGTGGCGTATTGGTAAGACGCTCACCTGGCGTTTCGCGAGCTCTTTGTCCTGGGTTCGTATCCTAGCCGGGGAGGATTTACTGGGCGAAAATCCTTAACTGTAGCCTCTGTTTAATCCAACAGTAAAATGGGTACCTGGTTTATAATGACTTGGCGGGTCGTATTCCAGGGAACATAGGATTGAGGACTTGTCCGAAATCTCTGCTAGTGGCTGCACAAGAATGTAAAAACACTTGTATATATAAATACAAAAAAAAAAATAAAAAAAATTACATCAATCTCTCGATAACAACATGACACATAAATACAATCTATGTCAGATTGTGAAACGTGACTCATGACAATGAAAACAAACCCTGGCAACACTGACAGGACAACACAGGTGTACAGCGGTCCACAACAAACTAACAATGTTGCCATAAACACAGATATAATTACGAAGGTCTTTCAACAGGGAATCTTATTCACCTTAATACGAACATTGTTATTTGCCTAATCAAAGCAAAACAATGACATTATTTAGACCAATCTAAGAGACTTTAACATCTCCCAGAGAGTTCTGCCCAACCACTTGGGCTGGACAGTAGAGCGACGGTCTCGCTTCATGCAGGTCAGTGTTCCATCTCCGACCATCCAAGTGTGGTTGGGGACCATTCCTTTCCCCCCGTCCCATCCCAAATCCATATCCTGACCCCCTTCCCAGTGCTATGTAGTCGTAATGGCTTGTCACTTTCCCCTGATACTTCCCTTCCTTCTAGAGAGTCATCAGTAAGCAAGAGCATCGGGATACGAACCCTTGAGGATGTTAAGACAAACAATATCCTCAATGATTGCACTGCAACTCTTACTGTGTTAAGATGAAATGCTCATTTTGCAAGACGTATACCCAGAGGAAATTGTTTCCTCAATCGTTCCATCAAACTAGGTAACCTAATTCAGGAGTAAGTAAACAGATATTTGTTTACACCTTCCTCGGATCTACACTTAGGATATAATTTATTTTTTTTTGAATAATGAACAAAGACCTGAGTCTATTAATGAGTCTGTGTTCATTATTCAATTAAATTTAATATAATTTATGCTCAGATCCGAGAAAGGAGTAAGTTAGAGATTTATAATTACTCGCCCGTTGGAGACATCATTCCTTGCCACCAGATTTCATACAATTCTGCGTTGTATTTACTTCCTATTTCTCACGTACTTGGTATATTATATGGGCTTACAGGTATTTACGTTTTTTATTAATTTAATATTATTTACCAGATCTACAGAAAACGAAGAACCAGCACCACTATAAACAACAGCAACACAACCATGCACAACAGCAACACAACCATGCACAACAGCAACACAACCATGCACAACAGCAACACAACCATGCACAACAGCAACACAACCATGCACAACAGCAACACAACCATGCACAACACCAACACAACCATGCACAACAACAACACAACCATGCACAACAGCAACACAACCATGCACAACAGCAACACAACCATGCACAACAGCAACACAACCATGCACAACAGCAACACAACCATGCACAACAGCAACACAACCATGCACAACAGCAACACAACCATGCACAACAGCAACACAACCATGCACAACAGCAACACAACCATGCACAACACCAACACAACCATTCCCAACAGCAACACAACCATGCACAACAGCAACACAACCATGCACAACAGCAACACAACCATGCACAACAGCAACACAACCATGCACAACACCAACACAACCATTCCCAACAGCAACACAA